TTGTATGATGAAACATTAATGAGACAGTATATCAATATACAATTACTTCCAAAAAGCATGATATATGCACTGTTCTTCAAAACAAAAGTAGGATTGTCGCCATTTTACGACAAGAAGTTCTTAAAAGCAGACGGCATAAATGCCAATTGCTATGGTCATCATAAAAATCTGCTTTTAGAAGATGAATGTATAGAAAACACATTTTAATATGTAATTATTTTTATATAAACAGCAGTCATTTCAAGAAAATTGAAAAAAACTGTTTCATGTATTTTTTTTTTTTCCTCTACTTAGAATATAAAAAACAACGAAATGTTGTTCCACGTCGATTATTCGACCCCGAATTTCTTACATCATGTAAAAGAAAGAATCTCACTACGAAAGAACTAATCAATATATTTGCCAATGGATTTTATCCACTCCAGTAAAAAACAGGCTACACACAATATGTTTTTTTTTAATAATTTTTTTGTATGTATATTTTTGAATGCTATGTTTTTTCATGTTATTTTATGTTATTCATATTTTGTTATTATGTATTTTGATTTGTATAGTTACTTTTTTCATGTAAACTAGTTTTTACGATTTAAAAAAAAAAAAAAAAAAAAAAAAGGCAAGCCCCTTAAGGGCTTGCATATTCACGATGAAGAGCAATCTGTCGAAATATATATCAGATGCTTTTTAACGTGAGTATGCCAGACAGAGGGGAAAAAGATATGGTATGAAACTTATAGTATAATTTGTATATTTTTAAAAAATATCTAGTCTGTGTGATTATAAAATAAGAATGAGTAAAAACATGTTTTGTTAAATATACTTTTTTTATTTATTTATTGCAGAAAAAAAGAGATTACATAGTTTTTTTTTTTTAACATAATAATTGTTTACAAATGAAGTTCCCGAATAACTTCGTCGTCGGGAAGGATGATGAAGTATCCAATCTTCTTTTTAGTGCAAGGAACTGTATCTGGAACATCTTCACCGCCGCGTATATTTTGTTTCCCCATCATCACACAGTCAAATAAATTGTTAAACAAATTTAGTGATGAGTCATGCAATAACATTTTATCGCAGGAGAGTTGTAGTAGTAAATATCCATATTCATTTGCTTTCGAATGAGCATGAATGTGATTCATCACTTCCGAATTGTTCAAAATTTTAAAATAGCATCGTTTTCCAATCATTTCATTTTCAATTGAATTCCTGATACAGCTAGTAATATCTTTAAATAAAACATTATGCACATAATAATATTCTGTGCCATTGGAATCAAACAACAGATATCCGTAACGTTTCGTCGATGAACTAATGTTTGGTGGCTTGGCTTTGCTCATATATATAAGCGCAGTACAACGTTGATTTCCCCAATGAAATGTGTGGTGGCAACATCTATTCAGTTTAAAATTTTTCTTCACGAATAGTTTGATAAATTTTTCATTTCTTCTTGTATTTCTTTTGTTAAGATCCTTTAATGTCAAATTTCTTGAATACTGATATAAAAAATAAAGCGTAAAGTAACCGCACGAGGAAGAAAAATTATTCTGAAAGCAAAACTTGTTATAAAATACTTTTTGAGAATTTTGATTCAAAAATCGCAGGATGTTTTTATTTGATGGAGGTAATCCATAGCTGTCGAAATAATACGCTTCATCGTTTCTAAAATAAATAGCAACCCAGTGACTGCCCGGTAGATTTTGAGGATCTAAATTCACTATAAAGCTTCTAAATTGATTTTTTACTTTAGGTAAAATATCCGATGCATATACTCCGCCAAAATGTTCCTTGATTTTTAAATCACTACAAGCTAATCTACACAAACTTATCGTATTCATTTCTCCTTTCGCCACAAGATATTTTTTTTTTTTTTAGTAATCCGTAAATACACTTCGAGATTTATCAATCTCTATGACATTACGATATTCTGCAAATGCCAATAAAGTGACTGTCTCTGGTAAACTATGGGAAAACTTTATATCGATTCCGATATTTCCATTTTTATTCACGCTTGTATGTGATTCACTTGCCGCATAATCAGGAGTCAAATCAAAAACATAAAGCGTATATCCATTTTTATATTCCTCATAATTAATGTTAATATTCTGAAAATTATGGTAACGGTTTAAATCAGTAAAAAGATTCATATAACATCTTGCATAACAATCCTGTTGAAAATCAGGTTGGAGAGGCTTAGAAGGAATCATTTGACTCCCATTTAATATACAGAGATAATTTAAATTATAATGAGAAAATTGAAAAGGATTTTTTGAAACATTCCCGTTATATGCTTCATTTGATAAAAAACCTAAAATGATGCGCGTTGGTAGCTGCCCAATAAATGCATTCGCTATTGTTGTCGATTGTAGTCCATATGATAGAGCAAAGGTCTTAACTTCTATTCGACGTATTGGCATTTTAATCACGCCACTTTCTAACGCTTTTTCATGCGCCAGAAAAACGGAAGGTGAGACGTTTACCTTACGAACGTATAATTTTGCAGAATGAATCACAGTTTTAAATTCGTCGTCTTTGGACATCAAAGAAAAAATGTCTTTGTTTTGTTCTAATTTGATGCGCACATTAACACCATTAATCAGTAGCTTCGGTTGAGTAGCTAAATCAAAATGAAGAGGTCCTATTAAATCCATTAAATTGCTTTTAGCACAAATTTCGTGTCGCTTCTTGTATCCTGAGTTGGTTGAATTTTTGCCAAATACATTATGTTGTGATGCCGTATCTTTATAAAACAATGAGGATGTTAACATATTCTCTTGGCTAGATTTAGAAGAAAATAAAAGACTTTCGAGGATTGAACGATATGCGTAATTTCCCTGTGAAGAAATTTGTCTATCATTGAGGTAAACACTGCACTCGGAAAACATAGTGTTTAGGAAATAATTGATCGGAGCAACATCATCTGTTTCTGTTAAATCGTGTCCGTTTTTTTTTTCACAATCTTTGCCTGTATATGTATAAGAGTATGTGCCAAATCTAGATAATGCTCTCCATTTCCACTTATATAAAACTCTATCGGAGTTTTATCATTCAGCGAGGCCACAGGATGAATTTCTAAAAATGAGGATTCTTCAATGGCAAGTTGTGTTGGTGAAGATGTAAAAAGATCCAGTTCACTTTTTAAGCACATGGATTCCATCGTGAAAAATATCTTTATGCTGTGTTTTTCGACGTTTTGTTTTAGTAGACTGAGTAGATTTTTTGTTTCGCTTTCTTTTTATACCCTTTCCATGTTGTAATTTGTTAAAAATATCATCTTTTATTTTTTTTTGTTGTCTCACGTAATCTAGAGCGCGCCGAGTCTTTTAGAGAAGCACCAGATGCGACGTCTGAAAGGACATTTTTTCCAGTTTGTAGCAAATGCCTGCCTAAATAGCGTGAAGCTTTTAATGCCAATGGAGTAATATATCGCCTCAAATCTCCAAAAATTCCATAACCTCGTTGATGTGCTATACCTTGAAAGTAGGGACCTCCTCCACCAACCTGGGAACAGTAATAAAATTCGCACTCTTTTGCGCTCAAATGCATGTTGTTTCGTTTCGGAAACAAAGAATGACAAAATTGTGCTCAAACTATTTAATTTATAGAGTGTTTCGTTTTTTAAAGGACAACACTACAAACGTTTTTCCACCAGTAAATATTATATTATTACCACTACTTGTTTTTAATTCAATTTCAATTGTGTCAACAAAATTCTTTCTGATCGGGAAATAAAGCGGTTTATGATAGTGTTTTACTACTTGTTCTTCCTTTTCATTCATACATGGTATAACTCGAAGAAGAGGTGAGTAAGAATCTCCAACATGATGTGGATGTATTAAATCTGTGTAAACAAATATTTCAGTTATTCCAGCATCCAACTCTAGTGGATAATTACTGATATAATTTCCAGCCTTAAAATGCAAGACATTAAATCCTAACATGTCTGCCAGACCTTTTCCGAAATTTACTTCATGTTCGGAAGGAACGTTTAAAGCAACCTTTTGGTTCGGTAGCTGTTGCAATCGAATGTATTTAAATTCTTCGAATAATTTTAATGCATTTTTATACATTCCCACATTCACTGATAGATGTTCAGTTTGCATTTCTGTCCTTTTTGTTTGATGATATTCTTTTATATATTAACTCCATTTGTTCTCTCTCTGCTATTAAAATCAACGGGTTGCAAGCGAATCGTTGAGTTCCTTTTATGACTGTATCATGATTCAAATTTAGGTTTTGCATTAGTGAATTAGCGTTGCTTTTTTTCAATACCAATTCGACATAATCTGAAAGTTTAATTTCCACTTCTTTTTTTATTGGTTCATATGAAAACTTAACATAATTCTGAAGCCCCAATAATTCGATATTTTCATTTATGATGCTGTAAGCGTCTTTTTCATTATTTACACCACGCTTGATAGGTGTTGCTGGTATTATATGCGAAATTATATTTTTAGGATTTTTATTTATGATTGTAAATGTTTGTTGCATTTGTCTCTGAACTGTTGGTCTAAACCTGAAAGTCTGATTCTTTTTTATAATTATATCTTTAAACGGCAAATTCAACATATAAAGTATTATGGGAGCTTGTTTTGTTGTAATATGGACTTCAAATCCTTCTTTGACTTCGATTGTAATCCGATTTTTTCTGTCTCCATCGGAAGCAAATCTTACATTCGAGTTCACACTATGTGTCTTTTCAGTTTCTCCATTCACTTTTAACAAAAAATTCTCAAGACTATCTTTTGATTCACACATTAAAGATATGTCATATTGTATATTTTCCATTACTATGCTTTCCTCTTTTCTAAAAGAAACAGAATATTTGTTGTTATGATCACCAATGTTAAACCAATTTCGCGGAATGAATATCTCAGAAAGTCCTACAACATAATTATTATCATTAAAAATAAGAGGTTTGCAGAGTTTGGTACGATATGAAGATTGAGTGTTTTGTGGGAAATATTTTATGCTGGAATTGCTTGGTAAGGTAACATAAAAATCAGTTACTGCTTCATCCATGATGCTTTTACCCAAGAATTAAAACGATGATCAAATCCTTTCCACTTCACATAGAATTCTTTGTTTTCTCCTGTTCCTTTCGTTTTTAGAATCTTTTCTATTCGCCAAAAATCACTTGATCGCTTGTTCACTTTCTGAAGCTCTTCCTCATAGAACCTTCCTTTTAAAATTTCTTCTTTCAAATCTTTCAACACATATGTAGGAGGATTCGAAGGATATCGTTTAACTATGGTAAATATTTCATCAGTCCAATTAGGTAAATATCCACGACGAAATGTCTTCTTTGCTTTCGAAATTCTCACTTGATCACCAATATTGAACTTATATTCTGACTCTATTTGAAAATTGTATAATTTTTTTAAAAATTTCAGGTTCCAGTTCAGACGTGACTGCAGCAGGAGCAAAGCCGGTACTGCGGTGCACACTTTCATTATAACTTTTTAAAACAGATTTTAAGATGTCTAAATATTTATAGGAATTTCGATGTGTAAATATGCGATATAATTTAGATTTTAGAGTACGATTAAATCTTTCTACAACACTAGCTTTATGCTCACTATATGAGGAATAATGGTGTATCTTATTCTTTTTGAGTAGTGCTTGTACTTTTTTATTATAGAATTCTTTCCCTTCGTCAGTTTGCAAGTTTACTATTGTCTTTAATTGCTTAAATAATTTTTTTAAAAGCTTCAACGAGTGCATCAGCATTTTTAGATTTTATTGGTATCGCATAGCCATATTTTGAGAAAACATCTATCGCAGTTAAAAGATATTTTACACCTTTATTGTATCTAGATACTTTTGACATGTCGACTAAATCACATTGGATCAGTTCACCAATTCCAAAAGATAAAACTTTTCTTCTCTTAAACTTGTATCTTATCGGTTTATGGAGTGTATAAGTGTCTTGTGTCATTAACCATTCTTTAGTCTTTTTTATGGGAATGCCACTCGTTTTTGAAAGACGTAATACACCCCCAAATGCTGCTGGATTATTTACATCATAATATATTTTTTCTAGAATTCTAGCCACTTGTCCGTTTTTAGATCGTGAGCTTTCCATGTTCTTGAATAGGGTCCAACAAGCGAAGGATGACTTCGAGTCTTCTTTCCTTTTAATATTCTACTTTCCGATTCTTGTAAAATTTCTTCACTTCTGCTTTTCTCTCGTGTTAGTTCGCTTTTTGTTTCGCGCAACTTCGATACTAATTTCTTATTTCCTATCCAAGACAGAGGAATATTTATTTCTTTAATAGCTTTTAAAAATTCACTAAAATGATCGGGTTCAATTTGAGATTTTGTATTTCGAAACATGTAGGAGAAGAAATCGGCTACTCTGCTGCCTCTGACAGGAATACCATCATGGGTGAATTCTCCCTTTTCATTCCAGTAATATTGTCTTGTTTTAAGTTTTTCAACAATCAGCGGTACATATTTGGAATACTGATGAGGTGATGAAACCACAATATCTCTCACCTTGGGATCGTTGTCGTAATCCTCTTTCAAATGTCTCTTTTTGTCTTCCTTCTCATCATCTAGTAGTTGTTCATTAGTAATGCTTACCCGCACTGGATCTGCGGGCGTATGAATAGTTTTTTTGATAGCGAGTGATAAGTTGACTTAATAATTTTACTTTCATATCATCTGGTAATTTGTTTCTCTCTAACAAAGTTTCAATATCGTCCTCAATGCGAATTTCTGGTTTGTGCAAATGATACGATGAAACCAACTCTTCAGGAATAAGTGCTACCTTTCTCGCCATGATATCCTTTTTCTTTTTTTTTAAACTGTAATGATGTATATCATGAAATTTTTTTTTTTTTTTGCTTATAGTGTTTGTTCAATATGTTAATAATTTTTCTTTATATTCTTTTACCAATAGCACTCCCAGCAATACCAGCTAGCAGAAATGATAGCAGGAGCTATCAGCGGCAAAAAACCACCAGTCTGATTTATTAAAAGTCTTTTTTTACTTTGAATCGAAGACGTTCGTTTGGCCAATCTTCTCACGATATTTTTATATTTTTGAAGTTTTTTTACGTTTACAGGAAGATGTCCAGCTAAAATGTTTAAACAAATTTCACACAAAGAAGCGATTTGTGCGTTATTTGCAGTTCTCAGTAAGGCTCGTTTTTGATTAGGAGATGATTTGGCTAACACTTGTAGAAAATGATAGTTCTTTTTCAAATTCTTTTTCATTTTGGACGGTAAATCCAAAAAACTCCTTCATTAGTAGGAAATAAATTCCCTCGCAGACGATACTCTTCCTCCGTCTCGGGATGTAAATCAATAACTAAATATTTATATGGTTCAGCAGTAGCTTTTATATAAGCATCCAATAAAAATTGTGAATTACGTGGATATATTTGTCTTCCTAGACAATTAATTTGACTCATATCTCTTGCATTTTTAAATAAAATAATGTAATGAGAATTAAGACTAATGTCTCTCATAACTTTTAAACGAGGAAATAAATTTTGTAGTATTAGTATTACACTGATATTGCAATGATGAGATGCGGCTGTGAATAAATCTGCAATTTTTTCATTTAATCGATGCATTAAATCATCTATGATTATCAAATCTCCATTTTCATATACTTCTGGCAACCCGTGTATAAATTCAATATTTGGTTCTTCTAGAAACCATGGTGCACTATATGAATAACACCACTTAATGTTTTGTTTCGGAATATCGAAGATATTATTTTTTATCATTTGTCGAACTAGTGATGTTTTTCCAGATTGACTCGGACCAACAATCAAACACGAACTTGGATGTTTTAACTTTAACATCTTCTCAACAGTGTTTTTTTTATAAGTTTTATTTTTAATAAATTGTTTTAATACCGTTTAACAACAACGGAAGGTAATGTATCTCATCTCCGCATAATGTTCCTCGAATAAATAAATTTTTTGTTGTTATATCTGTGTTTTTATCGCTGTGGATTTCTCTCTTTTAAAAAAAAAAAAAATGTTTCAGATCCTCATTCCTTATTGACTATTTGATTGTATATGGTTTTTCGAATTTTTTAGGAAAAAAAAATAAACATACAATTTAAAAAAAAAAATGTTACTGTAGAATGAAAAGTGTGCTTTTTCAAAATAAATAAAGATAGAAGAAAGTAAAGAGAAACAACACAAGAGTTTTTGCAATTTATCCATATCTTTTTTATTATTTTTTCTTTAGATTACATGTTTACATTGATAACAAACTTTCTTAAATTCATTTTGGTTTAACTGTACTCCAATAATTTCGGGTTTCAAATAATCAGTTTCATTTCTCCAAAAGTAACGTAAATCATATATCCTTTTTCCATCCTTAATACAAATATGTAGAAATATTCTTCTCCCAACATGTTCAGAATATATGCAAGATGTTTTGTTCAAATCTACTTTTGGTTCCTCTTCTTTCTGTCTTTCCACACAGTTTAAACATATGTATATTAGAATTTCTATGATACAAACACTGAGACAAATTAAGATTATTTTTTTTCGATCTTGTAACGTCCACTTCATTTTTATAGTCTTTCTATTACGACAGCAACAACTCAAATGAACCTTCTCCAAACATTTCATGAAAATTATATTAAAAAAACACAAGAAAAATCATTTTTTTTCCCTTACAATTTCTTGCAAATATGTGCTAAATATTTTAAAACCAATCGCTTGTATAACGTATTTATTACATTTTCAGAAAAATGCTTGTTTAGTATTACATCGCATTCAGATATTTTATGCATATTTCTTGAGATAAACTCTTCTGATATTTCTTGATGAATTAGCACTTGATTCCAGTCAATGACATCTTCTAGCTCCTCAATTGTATCTTCATCCAGCTTTTGATATTTTGCAATACGCGACATATCCAAAACTGCTGCATTATCTCTGATGAATTTTCCACTCAAATCCTGATACTGAGAAATTTCTTTCCAATCAACTTTGTGAGCAAACTGAACCATAAAATCTTCTGATAAAGACTGACATCTAGATATAAATTTCCAATTCACGACATCTTGGTGGGCTTCAATAAATGATTGAGATAAAGTTTGATATGCTGAAATGTTATCCCAATCCACAAGGTGTTGAAATTCAAGAATAAAACTTTCACTTAATTTCTGATATTTTGAAATAGTCGTCCAATTCACCATGTTCTGTAAATCTCTAATAATCTCTTCGCTTAGTTCATTTTCCTTCCCAAAATTTTCCCAATTCATTTCTGTTTTCGACATCTTCATCAATTAAAAAGCACTCGTCAAATCAGGTTATCTAATCGTTACGCCTTATTAATATAGTCTTTTTTTTCGAACATTTCTTCACTTCTTTTCTTTCTGCATGTCAAAACATGTCTATTAAAAAGTATTTCAAATTCCGCAATTCTTTGACGAAAACGTTCAGCGTCTATTTCCCAAAAACCTCTTCGTTCTTCACTTTTGGGGATATAGATCACATCGACATGATCCGAAAATCTCACGCATTTGCTCATTTTTTAATATATTTCTATGATATGTACAAAATAAAAAAAATATTATTCAATATGCATCAGTCAAATTTTGTTTTCCCTTCTCATTTTTTTAAACATCAAAATAAATGTTTTTTTTTGCAGAGCGAATACGGAAAGATTTCATGAAGATGGAAAAGGAAAATACAGAAGGAAAAAAGCGATATTTTGTTTTCCCAACGAATGTCTACAATTAATATGCGTTTCTTTTCGTGTCAGTACACACATAAATTTGATATTTGAAATAGTTTATGTGCGTACTGGCACGCCAAGCAATGCACACATCAACACTCCATCCAAGACGAAGATATCTCCATATCGAAAAAATCTCAAAATATTCAGAGAAGAAGAAGAATATTCACAGTTAATATGCGTTTCTTTTCGTGTCAGTACACACATAAATTTGATATTTGAAATAGTTTATGTGCGTACTGGCACGCCAAGCAATGCACACATCAACACTCCATCCAAGACGAAGATATCTCCATATCGAAAAAATCTCAAAATATTCAGAGAAGAAGAAGAATATTCATAGTTAATATGCGTTTCTTTTCGTGTCAGTATGCACATAAATTTGATATTTGAAATAGTTTATGTGCACATTGGCACGCCAAGCAATGAACATATCAACAATTTGTCCAAAACATTCCCAAGAATCGAAAATATAAGTATGTCTTATTATGCCAATATGCTCACAAAAAAGCTGTAAACAATGTATATACACCAAAACATCATAAAAAGCATATCTTTCGTTTCATAAAAGTAGGAATCACAGAAAAAAATATATGACATGACTAAACATTTCAAAATCATAATAATCTGAAATTATTACATATTTTAACTCAACTCCGACAACATCAAGTTTCCTTACACACCATCGACTCCATTGCCACCATAATCACTAAAGAGAGTAAAACCACCATCGCCACCA